GCGTATTGTCGTAAATCGGCGGTGGATACGGGCCGGGCTTGACAGAGCCCAAATTCCACCGTTTCCAATTGGCATTCGCCACCGATCCCGAGCCACTACTTTCGGCGAGGCATCGCTAGCGGCACCTCGTGTCATAAATCCCGAATGGAAATCACACCGCGAATGAGCGCGCCGCTTAATGTCGCGATTAGCATTTCGGCTGTGTAGCCAGTTTGTTATTTAGACGAGGGTGCTAGTCGATCTTCATCGGCGCATGCCAATTCCTAATACGTGGCTACGGGTGTTGTGATGCAATTATATACTTATAGTCTTGCTAGTCTGATAATTGTCTAGTTAGTAGAGGTGCATTTTATGCTTTTAACAGGATTTTTTTATAGCCGTGATAGCTCCTTGTCCGGGCGCTCGATTTTAATTCAATATACTCGAGCAAACTGAGTCCGAACCCCGGTGCCTCATTTTAATTGCTCTTAAAAGTGTGGATGCCGTTTATCTCGCTAATCACACCAAATGCAAAAGTATAATTCTACAACTTCAGACTGGATTTCTGCGTGCCGTCCCCGAACGTGTCTTTGAAATAGTACAGCAACAGAAACTGTTATGTGACCCTACAGACAATAAATCACATGGTACATACGAAGAATGCGTTCGTGCCTAGTGTATGAATTGAATACTTGATTTCTTTTCACCTTTCACTAACTTCAATTTTAATAAACATAATCTGTGCTTTAATTCAAAACGTTAACAAATTAATGGTCCCGTTTCCTGTTTCAAATCAATTGTTAAGATAGCAAACGGAATAAGCCTCAATGCATAGAGAACAATGCCACGGACGGCGGTAAGGTATCGCGGTTACTGCGTAGTATAATTTACTGCGCGTGCCATGTTAGGTCTGCGGTTGGATCCCTTAGCGGCGGACGCCTTTTTTCGAACCCGTGTTCGAGCTTAGCGCTTTTAACCACAAGTCTATGGTGCAATCGGCTCAAATTGAGCGTTGTGTAATGAAATAAGATCGGCTCAATTTTACCTTGTATTGTTTATTACATGCTGATATTATAGTCGGAATAGGCTCGAAAATGCAGTTCTTCGCTTGTTAAGGCGCTGGCTTTCAGAGGCCGGCAAGCTCAGACATAATGTACATCTGTATGAGACACTCCATAAGGTTTTGGCTGCTGGTCATTACTGTTGAATGAAAATAGATCCTATATTAGTATAATTATTTCTTTCAATAAAGGTAAACTACAATTAATAGAGCTACAGACTTTTCATCACGCCACTATATTCTCAAGTGCAGATGAAAAACAGATATATCTTAAATCATAATTCATAATCATTTTCGCAATAGCTTTTGGAGACAATCTCCAATAAGTTTCACACGAATAATTTTGTACCATAACTTTGTACCATATATCAATTGAAGTATGTCTGCGATTTTAAAACAAATGCCATAAGGCAATAAATTTAAGTCAGAACTGTAATTTATAGTAAACAGTATAGTAGTCTGTAGTAGTAGCGGAGTAAACGGAGCATAAATCAAATTTTGTCTGAATTTTAATAAAAAATATGGGAACAAGAATTATCACTAAAGTTTACGTGTAAATTTTCACATTTCGATATCAAAATATTTCGATATCATTAAAAAGATGTGAATAATTTATTAGGTACTAGATCCGCAGGGATAGTCGCGAGTGTAAGCTATTTAATAAATGAGAAAATTGCTGTCAGAGACCTCAATTATTAGCATCAGATTTTTTGATTTGTCAATTGAAGTCTTATTACTGAGTTCTTAAGGCTGTAATTCAAAAATTCAAAAAGTGCTAATAAAGACTGATTAAGGCTGAAAGCACAGCACAATATTTATTAAAAGTGGTAAATGTGTTTCATTTAAAAGTATTTGGACTCTACTAAGAGGCTAGGTGTTCCGCGGCTACTTCCAGGCTAAGGGCTCCGTCGTCCAATATAATGTAATCCAATAAAGAATGATTCACGCGCCACGACACGTTACATTATAATACTGCAGGCGTTGCGGTCTACACGAGAAGAGTTAAGGTGACAACGCGACTTTGTTGATGAATTATTCAATCGCAATTTTTAAATTAAAGTCGTTAGTTAACAATAATGTAATGAAGATCATCAAATGTAAAACGTCAAATGTCTTGTGAGAATTCTTGACTGTTAAGAGATAATTAATTGAAATGATTATTATTCATTCCTTTTGCCGATTACGAGCAGGCAACAAACGAGGTTCAACTTATTTTAAGTGATCACCACCACCCATGGACATCTGGAACACCTGACAGATTGCAACGCAAAACCTGGCTCCTGGTACCTCACTCACCAGACGAAAAGTTAAAGTATTGTATTTACACTTCATGCCGTTTATCTGTGAGGCCGTGGTAATTCCCCGGATGAGATTGCCCATTCGTACAACAGCACAAGACTGTTGAGTAGCCCTGCTACGGTAAATGTTATTTAATTTCACCTTATGATTTAATCTAATGATTTTGTTTAAAATGTTAACTGAGAAAGCACAGATAGCACTTTTTTATGTTTCCATTTAATTACTACAAATTATTTACTTTGGAAAGACCTGTTAGCTTCGCCTTAATCAGGTAGCATACAAATCGGTATGCCCGAGCTTAGCCCCCGCTTCTTGGAATCGAGATAAAAACGCACGGCGACACTGCATTTATTGTGCTCTACGAATAACTTCTTCCTTTTTTAGGGTCCCTCGGGACTGCGGTTATATATTCAATATAACCTACCTACTCGTAATTATTCAATCATGTTGTTAGTACTCATAGTGAAAATGGGAGCTACGGATTCTTGAAAATTGCATAAGCTTTTATATGATGAACCCATCTATTCATTGATAAAAAATTGACTTCGTTCCCAACAATTTCTTTCGTTTACAATTTTAGTACAGGACGATTATAAAACATAATGTCCTTATAATTGTAATGTGATAATTTTGTTTAAAAAATGTCAGTAATTTAAGAGCCGGTCAATGAAATATAATAACGCATACCGAATTTAAATTAAAGTGAAATTAACACCATGCCGCGTGGATATTGGTTTATTAGATAATATGTAATTTTAGATAGATTTAATCTTGTGAATATCAGATCATTGATATGAATTATATTAATTGATATTTAAACGAAATGAATATGGACCACCGCCGTCACATTAAAGTACGGAACACCCACATGTAATTACAGTTACGCTTGACGATGTCCCCTAGCCATATTCCCTTTTTTAGGGCCCGTGTAAATGGTGGGCAATTCGATCAATATGAAAGGAATGTTACACGATCATATTTTACGGGATTACTTATGGTTAAGTTACGTGCCGGAGCAAGGTGTTTGTTGGCTGCGCGGGGAATTAACTCTCAGGTTGTCCGCTCAGCGTAGAGCTGCCGTTATTTATAACTTTTAGTTTCGTTCGCACATTGTTTGAAATATCTTTATATATTAGTGGTCGCTCAGTGGTCGAAATTTGAACATAATTAATTTAAATTATAAGTTTGAAGAATATTAATCTATTCTCAAATACAATACACAAAAAACAAAAGGGTATATAAGCGTGTGTGTGTCAAATGCACGGTAGTTTGTGTAATGTTTTCTATATTCGTTTAATGTATTTTATGCATAATTAAAAAAAAATTAGCATTCTGCACTCCTTCTTTATATCCTTACTAATATTATAAACGTGAAAGTTTGAATGTATGGATGGATGTTTATTAGTCTTTCACGCAAAAAGTACTGAATAGATTTTAATGAAACTTTGCAATAATATAGCTTATGCATCATTATAACCCATAGGATATAATTTATAGAGATATTGTGTAAATTGTCCAAAACATAGGTAATGATAAGAGTCAACTAAGAAGGAAAAACGCATCTGCGAGATATTCTGGTGTATAAAAAAAAACTCATTGTTAATTTCCTTTAACCGCGCAGGCGAAGCCGCGGTTAACGGCTAGTAAAATATAAGTTTGGGAAATTTCATAATCCTCCGTCCGCGCAAAATTCGTATAACGGGGTACAAAGTTTTTGCTTCACGTATTAATATTTAAATAAGTTCTATTGAACATATATTATGTTCAATAGAACTATTATTGATAAAACTTGTCTTAAACGGAAATATGTCATTTGATAGTGCCACTTTATTCTTGCTGTTTACTCAATGTAAATTATTTACATGTTACATTTACGAGTTCAGATCGAGCATCGGTATCCGGCCCATCTTGAAATCGCCGTTTAATTATAGAAATCGTCAACGTAAATGTTACAAAATACACGGTTAGAAATAAATGCAGAAAAGTAACATTGGTGACATGGGACATGGCCCTTACCCCAACTAGGTGAGGTCGGCACAATGTGAATCATGTTGTAAGTGATTTTGGCTCTGTTTTTATCGACCCTGCCTGACGTCAACCCTTCTTAAGAAAAACACCCAGATCCGATTCCCATCCCGTCCGATCCCAGAACATTTTTTTTTAATGTGAAAAGTTGCCAAGCGAGCAGACGGTTCACCTGATGTTAAGTGAATACCGCCGACCATATACATCTGCTACACCCGAGGGTTGCAGATGCGTTTGACAACCTTTTGAAAATTGGGCTTCGGCCACCTCACTCACCAGACGAAACGCGAAAGTATTATACTTCCACTTTACGCCGGTCTTCTGTGAGGTCGTGGTACTTACCCGGACGAGCCTGCCCATTCGTGCAACAGCCGAGGCTGCTGCGTGGCCCTACCACCGTAAATTACTTATGGATCACACAAATAAATGTCCCGTGTGGGAATCAAACTACGACCCCGGCACCAATAGCCTAGCAATGGCGCTACGATTACAATATCTATTAAGAACAAATTAGGTAAAATTTCTAAAGTAAAAACCGCTGCCCACCGTCGAATACAATTTTAACTTTGAACATTGCATTGTAAACAATCCAATTGTCACATCTACACATAAACATGGGGCGTGCTTGAACGAAGGCATGTCTTACGCTCCAGCAAATAGATTCCTGGATGCGAGCATTACAATATACGCAAATGGCGACGATGAATGCGACGACCCACGGCACGTCCGGCCGTTCAAATGGCCCACAAACCCTCAAGCGGGCAGTTTATTGTGTAAACACAAATCGCAATTCCGCCTCGGTTGGGCCGTTAACGCCGCGCTCACGCGAGTCACGTTGGCGATATCTGTGTGGACAGCACCAGGTGTTCCGAGGGCGGTAACTCGTCAGCGCAATAATTCAGCCCATCCGACTGAAGATGGAGACCCTCGCTGTCGGGTTACAGTAATGAGCGTCGCTTATACGCAACTCCTGTAATATGTGCAATAGATTAGAGAGAGAGAGAGAGAGAGAGAATATTTCTCGCCATTTGAACGTCACTAGGTAGACGTAGACAGATAGAGCTTTTCGCTTTCGAGCTTACTCAGAGTTATGACAGTTGTAGACCATATCCGGGAAAAGCCTAGCCACAGCGCGCTGGGCACGTTATACAATTATAAATATAAGTCATATATAAACGCCTACAAAATTATCACTTTGAGTATTATACGAGAAAACGATATTTTTTATTATGTGCTATTTTCTACGTCTCTCCCTTTCCTGTGCAACGGACGAAAGTTCATACAAAAATATGACATACATATGTATGTATGTCATATGTCACAATAAAATAAGTCTTCTGGTCGACATTCTACGTAACATTTATAAACTAAGTCGTCGTAATCGAGCGGACTTGTAAAAACCGTGCAAAAACTTATGGATTCCGAACGGAAAAAGGCTTACGAACGTAACGACTTCCACGCGCAATACGAAGAATCCATGGGCCGGGCGAAAGTTGCATTGAACCTAATAAGAAACAAAAGCGGCCCTAATTTAGTAAACACGACAATAAAGCGCTGGGCGCGTGACTAACGGACGTCTGGGATGCGGAGTTACAATGTTGAGGGCGCGATAATTTAAAAATAAGCACGTTGCGCGGGGGTTGTACGGTAAACAATGACTTTGTATGCGAGAGGCGGTTAAAGTGTGTATTTTTAAAGAATTCCAGCAACACACTTCGAGAGCGGTTCTTGTTAAGCTCTTAAGGGGTACAAAGTGAAACACGGCTTTTTAGCGCACTGAAACGTATGGCCTCGATCGGGAAAGACTTTATCGGAGCGGGGAAAGACGAAATAAGACATCTAACAATTAGTTGTACGCTAGGAGATAATGCTACAAAAAGCTGCTCGGAGAAGAATTGATATTAAATTATTTGGAGCTTCTTATAAAACTACGAACTACTAGATAGAGTTCCCCGTCGTAATGCGAGAGTTGTAATGCGATAGAGTTACCCGTCCAACGTTATGTCGCTGAATATACCAAGTCACTGGTATACTAGCTGTAATTTTTATAGCCAAGAATTATTTTGTACTTAGACAACGAAATTACTAAATACTAGGTAGTTGACCCGTGCGGAATATTCGTTACCGAGTTAGGTCTCCGAATTGCAATTTAGGAAAGTGAAAATAAGTAGATATTTATCTATTAAAGAAATTAATTTGAAGAAAAACGTTTTCTACCTCACTATTTTTCATTAAAAAAATTTACAATATTTTGTGACAATTTTTTTTTTAATGAAAACTTTAATTTTATTCTATTTATTTTTCGTCAATAGCGGCAAACATAAGCTTTAAAATGGCGTTTGAATCATTACATTCGATGAAGAATTATGAATGTTAGGTACATCGAACCGACAAAAAATTTTATAGAAGAAAAAAGAAATATGGGATCAGAATAATATCACGCACATGAATATTTGCTATTCGCCTTAAAGGAATTAAGTTCCACAGAAATGCAGGGGCACATCCCATCGACAGTCAACGGAGTACAGCGAAATCTATATGTAAATAGCTAGCCAATTTATTAGACGCACATGTTTGGATGTTGCGCAACCCGTGTCATTCCAATTCACAATTAGATCTAATACAAGTTGCACAGAGAATACGTAATAAGGATTAAAAACATTACATTACAATGTTGCAAGAATTGCTTGCACGGAACAAAAGTAGTGAACTAAAACAAATCACCGCATTTGTGAATTGTCACCTATTAAATGTGTTAATGTTCATATTTATATATTGATATTGTAGTTAATGTTCATTTTATAAGGCTAGGACATAAACTTTTAAAAAAATTTGATGTGCGGGGACCCCACGGACCTAACTGTTGACTTCTTGATTTTACGCGAATATTATACATATTAAATGATACTGGATGATACATTTTATTTAAAAAAGGATGCTGGATGCGCAAAACTGATTTACAGTTTTGTTCTGTTTATACTTTTGTTCTATTTATACATTTGCTTCTCAGTGATACTTTGTGTACTTTTCCCCGAAGTCTTACTAAACATATACAGACATTTGTAGTAATACACGGTGACTGTCATTGTGATTTTGAACACGCAAATCTCTTAGAGCACTAAAGCGAGACTAAACGAAACAGTTGAACGAGCATCTGCAAAACGATACTGCAACGTCATGAATTCAATTTACTAAACACGATATTACCAAATCTTAGTGTCATCACTGCATATGTGTTTGTATTTATTGCTTACAAAAGAGTGAGGGAACAAACGTTCGTAAGGTTCGACGGTTACGGCGCAAATCTACAGAAAATGTCTATGTATGCATGTGTCACAGCTCATACATGCAGTAGAAAAAGTATCATGTGGGTCTTAGAAAAAAAGTAAAATATTTTTTTTTCAACTCATTGGAAGATTGCTTCTAGGAAATTTGGGCTTGCTACCATGTGCGATATACCAGTACACAGCAAAATGTCGGCTTCGTTAAATTCACCTGGGAATCGAACTGGAGTGGAAAGAATCATTAGATACGGCGACAACATCACAGATCATCAAAATAAACATTAAACTTTGGACTCCGAACGCGTCTCGCCCACGCGAGGCCTCTTATTTATGGCCATCAATTAAGCTCAACTATTTCAAATCGTTTATTTTTTTTCTGATTAATTATTTAATTGAACTTTATTTATAGCGACGTTGCTGTAAATATATTAGGACATATTGTTGTAAAAATACGATCAAGTTGTGAGGGCAAAAAGTCAAAAAGCTTGAAACTCACTGGGACACCACGCTCCAAATCGACATCTGTAAACAAAAATAATGTCTTTATAATTACCACGGCATTTCGACGAGAAGATTGTACAGTTTTCGGTAAAAGAAATAGGAAGGGAATAAGGCTTAATATCATGTTGATGATTAAGAGATAATTGTCACTTCCATATATACAGAACTTTAATGTTCATGAAGCGATGCGCTGTGTTATTTATCGACGCTCGGGCGTGTCTTAACGTTTTCTCTCCTGCATGTCGATATTTACAATTTTAATTTAACTCTGTCGAAATTGAGCTTTCATGATTATATGGGAAGACGTAATTTGGGGGAGCGCGCGGAGGACGGTGTGGGGTAGCACTGTCTTGAACTAAATAAGTGTTAAATAATTATGTTACTGATTGTAGAATAACTTCAATGTATCATGTTGTTATGACAAAAGAGGTTAAAAACTAATTGCGAAAACCTAAGTAATGAAATGATTTGCAAATTTGTAGTAATAAATATTTTTATTATGCTACAAAACCAAGTGCCCTTTAGATTTTTGTATCTTCAATGATGTCTAAATAGATCGGTTCTTCTAGGCAAATAAATATGATGCATGTTTTTCAAGTGCCTGTTATCATTTCTTACATAACTAGATTGTACAAGTCACCAGAACCGTAATATATTTAGGCCAAACATTACTGTAACATCACTATCAACTTTAACTTTAAACTAGCTCCCATCCCTATTTGCGTCGACAGCCGATAAAGTGAACTAAACACACCGAAAAAGTAAACAACGCAATTAAACAACGCCGGTCCCAAATTAACGCCCTGGGGCATCCGAGTGACATTTTTTACGCTCAATTATAAATTATTTGCCTCTCCACCTTTTTTCACCGGCCAACAGGCTGCGGGGCGCACGCATCGCGGTCACGACAAAAAAGCTCTCACGCACTCCTCATCAGCGGCGACTTTTCGATTATTCATGCGCTACGCTGTCGCGAGGACATATTATCTAACATAGAGCTGTAGTCCCATTAGCGAGCGTGTCGTTTGAAATTAACATTTTAATGTCCCTTCACGTAATGGTGACGGTGGTTTTTAAAAGGTTAAAATGGCTACATTTCGTAGGATAAGCACATTTTCACTTTTCGATCGAGGGAAAATAACTTTATATCAAGGATAACATAAAAGTGGGTTCAAATAAAGAAATAACAATTACGAATAAATAAATACTGAACTACTTTTACTTAAAGTAAACACTTTCAAAATTCCTTCCCGAATAAACAATTCATAAGGGAGACCAGGAAAAAGCAGTACAGGTGTAATATCAACTCTGCGAGTATCCCAACGACATAATCGAGCAGCGGCTGATAGAGTTGGTCGAGATAATGACATCTGCGGTAAAAACTTGGACGGTCGTTATTTATCATCCGCTGGGGCTCTTTAATTATCGGGACGGGTCCGGTGCCCCGCCTTGCCGACACCGGTGTGCCACCACCTTTACGAGCGCGCGGCGCGGCGATGGGCGTCGTTTCCGCCGCGAAAGGTCAACTGGCTGGCTCGTCGGGACACACGCCACGTACTGGTTGGCTGTCTACGCTTCGCTAGCTTCATCGAGCGATTTTCCCGATCGGGTAGCCAGTACCGTCTTTATAGGTCCACCATTAAATGCGCTCGAGTGAAGATGGAGCCGCGTGTACCGTCCAGTTAATAGTACTGCGAAATGCGTAAAATGTTTTCACAAGAACGAATAACTTTGTTCACAATTGTACACTCACGTCTGGTGCGATCGAGGCGGAGAGCGGACCATAACTATAAAGCGTATAACGCGAAACGATTTTGACGAACTTCAGAGACCTTTTATAGTTTATGCTCCCTATACATTTTAACCATCTAATTAGAGCCTAGCTTTTTCACAGTAGCGCTAACTTTAAAACAATTCAGAAATAAAATAATTGATAGTACTTCTAAATCAGGCGGGCTATAACACTTGCAGGATGCGCTCAATTAATCAACAAAATTAAATCGTCTAAAGGTCTCAAGCAAAACTATTAGCAAATGAATGGCTTAAGTTTTGATGACACCATTTTACGGAATAATCTCAAAAAGAAGTAATTTTATCGCTCGCATCTATAGTGTAAAGAGTACAAATTGAATGACCCCATTAGTTCAATTAACCCCGATACGAAATCGATTTTGAACAAGAACAGGTTTGAATCGACGACCCCTCTATATCACAAGTGACATGTACGCAAGTGAACGCAATAAATCCACCGAGGGTTAATTAACTGCCAGCACAATGCTTTATATGTGTTTAAGGGACTTGTATGGGCCGAGGTTGCGGTTCGGTGCAAGAGATAAGATACGGGCGGTGCGACGAAATAAGTAAATAAACGTGTCAAATGGAAATGGCAAAAAGATTGAGCTCCGTTTATATTCGGCATTCGATCGCTTTGTATTATCACTTGTACCGGCAAAAATTCAACAAACGCTATTGTAAAACGTGTATGATATTCAGGTCTAGGTTATATTTTCTGAAAATATCAATAGCCGTTAAATTTAATACCTGTGTAGTGTGGTGTGTTATCAACATAATTATTAATCTATGTTGTTGTCTGTTACAAAGGCAAAATAGTTTAGTACCTTCTTCTCCTCCATTTATGAAACGACCTCTTTTTTGTAAGCTTTTGATGATGATAACTTTCGTCAATAAGAAAAAAATTCAATAACGACTTGGTCGAACTTCGTCTAGTGGGCGAAAATTAAATAGCCAATTAAGTTTATATCCAAACTAAAAGCTGTACCTCACTAATGATCTATAAAATTAGTTCAACATTTAACGTTATACCTGGTGTGAAGTTCTGAAAAATTGTAGGGATATTTTAAAGAGTGCCTAGCCATACTAAGATATAATATAAGTAACTACATAAGGGCTCAGGGCGTACTTTTATTTTCTTCGTAATTAAAAGTTAAGAGGGCGACTGAAATGTCGTATGAAACTTAGGTAGGATTAAACAAAATCGTACAAAAAATAATTAACTGGCAGTGCTAAAAATGTTAATCCCAGTGATAAAAATCAATGGATATTTTTTCAATCAACGCATGATAAAACAGTCGCCCCAATTCCCTAATGAGGCTCATCAACGTTACATTAAAAATAAAAAACGTCCCGCGGCAACGGACCTGTTCGAAATTCAATATTCATTACCGGATTAAAAAAAATCGACGTTCCATGTTCAAACCACCAAGCACTGTCCACAAGAGCGTCACGGTGCTAAAAAAAACTAAAAATAACGCCGTCGCGTCATAAATATCTATCATAGGCAGTTCGATTATGGAGCGGTAAATCAGCTCGGTGCGCCAATAAAAAGCGGACTAATCGCCCCACCATATACAATGCGGGGCGTTCGGATTAACTTATAAATCGTGCGTTTCGACAAGGTAAATATGGCGGTGCCCGAGAGCTACGGCGCATCGTAATGGCATATTTTCACGTGATATCGACGCGTTCGATCGTCGTGTTCGACCACACGTAATGTGCCGAGTATTTATATTAAAAGTGGCTCTCGATTGTCTGTGATTCATTTTTCTGCGATGGGATGAATTACAGCGTATCGACTGCGATACGATGGGACATTGGTGTTCGGTTTTGACATTATCGATAACAAATCGATGGTATCGTATGCTAGGCATAAAAATTCCATACCGTTGAATTGCAAATTATAATAAATTAACACATGAGTTTTTACTTCTTCTGAAAAATCCCTCGCACAGAGGCTCTCCCGAACTTTAATTCACTTTGTAGGAAATGATTTTTAATTAAGTAAGATTATAATTTAAAAATACTTATACATTGTAATATTCATATAACTAATACTATTATTATTTTGTTGTCTGATTAAAAAGTATAATCATCTAATATATTATTACCTTATCAGTTTTGTGTAGTACGTGTTAAGAAATTTTATTAAATTCCAAGATCAGATTTATAAGATTGAGAAATATGTTTAGGCACTTTTAAAAATTTAACGACCCGTTATTAAAGCATCAACGCTCTTTCAAAAATTTAAACTAATGTTCAAATAATTCGCCTGCGTTAAGCTTTTAAGAAAGATTAATTATCGGAGACGCGTACACAACTGCAATCTGTAAAGCTATATTTCACAGACGCTGTTCATTAAATATTACCCAGCACGAAATACACAACTATTTGCGTTGTATTTCAAGTACCTAAACTGTGTTATTCATAGACGAATTGTAACTTTACTTTTGTCGCATCTTCTAAGTAATTATATCAATAACGAACTATATATCATCTCCTCATTTTTATTTACATGCCCAATCGGCGTTTTAAGAGTTCGACGCTTTACATTAGCTGCCCAAGGAAATAAATCCGCAGACGCGATGTGCACCGAGGGGTAGTGATGCGAACGGCGCATTCACAAATCTATCGATAGAGTCGCGCGCACTTACAAAACTATCGATAGGGCCGCGCCAACCCGGGCCGGCCACACGGGGCGCGATTGTGCGGACACGGTCGCGAACCGGGCGTTTATTAAGTAGTGTACGTTTCAATTGCGGTACGCGGGCCCGCCGTATTTATTGCACCTCTTGAACGGATGAATAGAGATAAACATATGCTGCGCGCGGATTAATGACCCCTTTGTGCGCGCATAAAGGATCGCGCCTGACAATCGCTCGGAACGGTTTTGTCTACGTTCCCTTAGGCGTGGGTCGGACTAATTTATTGCTGTGAAATTTCGAATTAAATTACAATTATAAAAATATTAAGCTAAAGAGGCGCTTATCCAATCTAATTCAAAGAAAAGATTATCGCAATTACAACAATCAATACCTAACTAATATTTTTGAGAAAACTAGGTACGATAATAAATTCAAAACATGCTCTCGACAAGACTTTAGCCGAAGGATGTTTACATCAACAGCTGCCATTCCACTTTGGGCCGTAAGCTCTTTCGCTTTCGCGGTACGAAATTTGCGATTCCCCGAAACAATGCCAGCCTCCACTGACACGGTGCACCTAATTACAGGGCGAATGTAAAACGATTCGAGCTTTAAACCGAAAATTAACTGGGGAAAAAAAATAACCGATTGTAATACTTCAACGAAATTACGAGACTCCGTCATTACATCGAGACAAGATTGAAGGACCCCCGTGACGGCAAATCGACACTCAACCAGTGAGGGACACACAGTCATCGATTAATTATGTAACGGGTATTTCCCGTAACAACATCCACGCAGCATAGTTAAACGTACATACATTTTAGTGATGTGCATCATAGTCAATCATCGTCAGTTATGAATAAACTTAAAAAGTCAAGGATACAACAAAGTTATCTCGATAAAGAAATCACATCTTTGGCCCGCGTAGTGCAACGGTAACCGAGACTACAGATTCAAAAAAAAAGGAACTGGTCACATAATTGCGTGATAACAGAAACGATTGCCGTAACAATTCCAATCGGACTTTATCATTATTCGGCGGCCGTTTAAAACACGCGAGACTGCTGTGCACTCGATCGGTTCGGGCTATAGGCGTCCCGTTCTCGCGGACGGTCTGCAAGCTCCTTTCCGAGATTCCGAGTGGTATAATGAAGCCATTACCCGCAAGAACAAGCCCCGGCGGAGGCAGCCGCGTCCGCCGGGGAGGGAGAAAATACCCAAAACGCCCGGAGGGTTCTCGTGCGCCGACATGCTGTCTTGGCAGCGAGGAAAAACAACCAAGGAGGCTTTTAAAGTTCGTTAGGACTCGTTTCGCGGTGCCGCTTTCCGATTCAAATATCGAAGTGCTTTTGTTTTCGAATGCACGCGTCGCGAGTCATCGCGCTCGACTTTACCCCGTTCGGTTCGAGTATGACGTTAAGAATTTTAATGATCAAAGGGCCAAACGCCACAAGAGCGTTTCGAGAGTTGAACGCACCGAAAATATTAATTAATTACATATCGATAAAGTGGCAACTCACTACGTCATTAGCGCGGTCCACGGGCTTTATTACCAAACAGATGATGACTTAGCATATCTATTCGAACAAATAACAAATTATTGCTTTATAATGAAAGGAGGCCCCTTTTAAAAAGACTGCCCACCGGAATGCCTCTACAGTAGGGGGCGTATATTCGTATCATAAAGATATAAAAGACAACGAACATAATATTGCATGTGAAATTAAATTGTGTAATCGTACATATTGTAAAGATAATAGAGACGGAAGACAAATACTATTTTATCTACCCATACCATACTAAACAAGGTGTGATCTGTTTGTTTTAATGTATTTACAATGATGGTATTAATAGTTCGTAGCTTGCACAAAATGAAACAGTTAGTGATGGCGGAGCCGTCTCGTTCTGTACAATATTATCGAATCGATTAAGGAACAGCCAATTGCATGCCTTGGAAATTATTACATTAGGCCACGTGCAAGACAATGTTTATTGTCCGACTTGGGCTGATCAGATACCATTTATATTTGATGTGCGTTATTACTGTAGCTCTCAAGCATTTGTTTCAGTTGAACAATACATTTTATCGTATCAATAATTCAGTTTTAAAGTATTCATTTCATGTGGTATGATTCTTTCGATTTAATATGCATCACAACTTGTCAAACCAGCTGCATATTAACTTAATGAAATAGAGAATTGTATTCAAAAATCCTATAATATTTCGGCGCCGTCATCATAGACGCCGGACGTCAGTTCATACATGTTTACTCATAACTGATGGATACGATAAAGACACGGTGATTACCCTACAATGCGATGTAAAAAAATGTCATAATCAATTCAAGTTGGGCGCGAGAAAGCATTATATCGACGCCCACGATCGAATATATAGAGCCAGAGACCACGCCGTGATAAAATACGTTATGAAGGAGAGAAAAAAGGTAAATCGTTACTATACTGCTTACGTCTGGTAGGTAATTAATTACTTTAAAAAAATAATTACCTAAATATTTAAAGAGTAAATATAATATCAATAAAAAGAGGGGACAACATCATAAAACATATGACGAAATAAACTCGACCATGTCAAGACAAACATAATCATTACTTCGTTAAACTTATAATTTATGTCTCAATGCTCTTATTCGGATGTTGATAGCCTTTAGGCGGACTCTTTCATTATGCAAATCGGGGTCATAAAAATCACACTATCGACGGACGCGCCATATTTTAAGGCGGAAACGGTTCCCTAATTACCACATTTCGTCACCCGGAGACCTCTCCAAACATCTTAATTGAACGTGACCGGTTGTGACGCCACGAAAACTCAATCTAAGCTTCTAATGCTCGACGCCACAAAAAAGCGTTTCCGACTCTCTCGACGCGGTCCGTATCAAAATCACATTAAGACGTCCAAAAACCGACTGCATTAAACCAGTACTCGTTCGCTCTCGTATCTCCAGACGTGCACTACTAATAACTCAATCCTTACTAAATTATATAGAGCCGGGAGTCTCGCATCACCATCATTAAAGTGCGTTCGACGAATTACGGTGCGTGATTCGTGCTTCACGTTTTGCGTTGAATGGCGAAATTTTCTCAATTAATACAGCACCATTGCGGTGCAATTTCCTTATTACGGAAAAACAAATTTTAGCTTTCGAAAGTTGAAACCTGCGTCTGATCTTTTTCCAAACCATTATATTAACACAAACATCACTCAAATCAAATCATATCTTTATGAAATAAATAGTAATTAAAAAGCATATAACAACGCACACAAACAAACTCAGGGTATGCTTTAGTAAACATTAACACATCTCGAAGGCTCAAGCGCCATTAGTTACGCAACTTATAATCGCTTCATCAGCCGCGCACAGGCCCTCGTCTCTTCAATCAACACGAGGAGCGGCGCGACGCGACGTCTCAACTTACGTTTGCGGACGCACCTATCAATTTGCGCACAAAAATCGTGCGCGCGAGCATTACACGTATTCGTCACGTAGTAATAACAATATATACCTGTTTGGTGCCCGCTCTTCGTTTTGTGGCCGGCCGTTGTACCACGCCCAGGGCATTACGGGCGGAGAGCGTAGGGCCCGCATTATCGATTACGCCGCTGCGCACTCGATTCGATTTTATTATGCACCTTTGTTTTGCGGTAGCGTAATAAAGATTTCACCGCTCGAATAATTGCGATACTTTCGCCCCGTTTCGTGTGAGTCCACGTTTAAACAGAGACATTATGGTCTCTGTAATGTCGTCAGCTAATATATAATCAGGAATGTATAATAACAGATTGAAAATATACATAAAGGTACATGATATTAATCAATTTTTTGGTCAACGAAATAATTTTATCGATATCGATACTTGCATACCGCGTCAATCATTAGTAGAGCGCGGCGGGGCGACTTTATCACGAACATAGAAGAGCGTGCACTCGACGCATATTTTCTTATTAAACCGCTCTATGCTGACCGTACATATTTCAACGCACTCTCCGTTGATAGCGCCGAGTACAGATAGAGGGGAAACGATTGAGGTGTATTAATTTTATGTCTCGCCAGATAAAGTAACGATCCGAGAAACGGACTCGGAATGGGATGTGCGTGTCGAAGTGAAATTAAACAAGAAATATCCACATTTTAAATAGAAGGTTCTATTTATACATGTATTTTACACAAAATAAGTTACGTTACATTACAATTTTCTTAATAAAACATCCAAAATTATGAAAACGTATTAACAATAAAAATTACAATTTTAATTTAGCTATTTTTCGCCTTAATTACCATAATCAGACTGATAAATAAGTTTTATTTAATGTATTTATCACTTTTGTTTATAATGTGTAGTATTCGAGCAAACAAGAGAAATCAATAAATCACCTGGTTCCGAGGCTTATTACAACTACAATTACCTAATTACAATATTCTCAGACAAAATCCCCCCTCCGATCACGAAGACTTCACGGAGTCACCAAAATCTTGGACGAAACCCTCTCTCCGATCATGATTGTTTAAGCAGCAATGCCGTATGATAGTAGTGCATTATTACGTTGATGCGAGCGGGCAAACACGCAAACAGGCAAATATTGACGCAGTGGCAGTTTGCCGTGACGCGTCGCTGCAGCTTACTGCTCGAGTCAATATTGACCGGAGCATACGCGCGCGCACAGGGCTGTCGAGTCTAGAGTTTTTATCTAGGAATCTGTTAACGGAGTAATAAATCTTCATGTGACGAAATATACAAGGAAACGTAATTTTTCTAAATTCACAACTACGAAATATTAGGGAATACTATACAGAAATCAAGAATATAAAAATTACTTATGAAGTCTAAAATCGGTATGTAAGTCATGTTAATTTTATTAGGTATTTGGGAATCGAACACTTTTGTTTAGTCCAATAATATGAAATAAATTACTGGCAATGTACGTTTTTAACTGGATAATCTGACAGCCCTATGAAAACAGGTTGCACGGACTAGAAGCTTTTATGGAGCAAACGACAGAAACGGAAATCTCGTGTAGTTTATTTTACATTGCTACAATAACTCGCGTTGTATGCATTGCGGTCGATGTTTACCGATCATTGGATGACGCAAATACCTCACGAAATTTCGAGGGGTTATTAAATGAGGCTTTGAATAAGGAAGCTCTGATATTTGAACAGGCGGGGAGAGCGGAGTATTCATTTGGAAAAATATTTGTTCTAGCTTACTATCGAGCCCCAATTATATAAAAAACACATACGATTCTCATCGCGTGTCACGTTCTTCTATTAACATATTTCAAATACTGCACCATTAGTCTCGTGCGACTGACGCGTATTTGTCTTGGCGGAGATACGTGTAGATAATTGCATAGTTGATGTCAGATAGAGTTAGATATAATAATAATAATTATGTAAGTATTTATCACATCGTAGTTGCCCTTAACCCGTAAACCTAGAGCTTATATTATTAGAGATATTAAGTATGACCACTCGTCAACCATTAGATTGTTATTCATATTTAAGATTTGGCATTAACTGATTTGTCATTAATAGATACCTAACCAATTTCGAAATGGCACCTTACTATTTCTAGTATTTTTATGTTCATTTATATTCGAATCGACAGTCAGTTAATATAGACCAATAATATATTGCTTACAGATTTCATTATGAATACCAAATCTATACCTTATTTTTATAAACTCGAGAAAAGTGCACGTTGTTGCCTTAACTGCGTTTTAGTCGGCGCACGGCATTTATAAGATAGTTATCTGCAACATTAATATGCGACTATTTATTGGCGATTAACATTTAATGTCATTAAAACTATAACCAGAATATTGACATTATAAAAAGTAGGTAATATTAACTCGTGCACTTGAAAGAGGCTACAGCTGTTATTTGCATCAAATATTCTTTACATATCGTGGGTTTTAGGTCCGATGATTGGTTTGTGGTATAAACTATACGTGTAAATAACCCTCCACTTGCCTCAAATAAAAGTGGATACTAGAGGAAGTGGGCAATGTTCTACAGTATACAAATTACAAAGAAAATTATGTAATTAAAAAAGTATGTGTGTAGCTTATGTACGCACGTAAGAAGTAATACTGCTTTACCGTAATAACGTAATAAAATAACTAAAGATTTTATCCCCTTAGCAGTGTCTGTAGGCTCACTTTGTCTGTGAAAGACAGCTACTTCTTAATTGTGCTACCTATATCTCGCATTCCGCCACCGAATTTAATAGGTAAGAAAATTTAATGCATATAAAATCAAAAGGAAACTACATATGTGAAACTCGATGATTCGACAAAACGTGAAATGATCCGATAGTCATTCCCGGTTACATAGTTCAGAAACATTTATTAAAGTCTATTTGCAAAAGAATGACTTTTAACTTGTATTTAATATGATGACCATCGGACAAACGAAACACTGAAAGTGTGCGGTCGTATAAAAGAAATAATTACTGCACCATCGCTACCTAAATCTGGTGACTGGTAATAAACCAATATTTACAGACACGCACCAGAATCCAAAATGCCAATAAGCTACCGTTCGCCCCCCGGCCTCGCTCCGTCAATATTGGATATACTTAAAACCTTTTCCGGGAATCACTTTTAGTGTTACTGTGAGATATTATGGGCAAACTTGTCTATTTAGAGTTGCCTTTTATAGTCGGACCCCCCGAGCTGGGAATTGTGGACTTTAAGGACTGGACATAAGGCGTTGCGAAGTGTCGCGGGGTCATGGAGCGGTCCAGGAATCTGTGTACAACGCTAATGACGAGTAGGTGTTGCTTTAGGTAAGGTTTTGAGTACTTTTGAGAAACTTATTTACTTGTTGATTGGTTCGCCTTTCCAGCGCTGGATACGGTCCGTGTGTTGACTTTTAATGTGCCGAACAAGCATTTATGACTTGGAAGTTTATCGATCACAGAACTATTTAGATAAAATTGATTAATGAAGGATTGTAGTGAGGAACGTCTTCGTATAAAACTACAAGCAGTAGTTCTTCCGATACCTAGACGAGCTACCTGAAAACCATTTTACCAAAAAATGAGATTCATGACGCTTGCTTCAAACTAGCAAAAAAAACTTAATAATTGAAACGACAACAGCTTAACCAGAACAACTGGAATATAAAAAATTATATTTAGTTTAAAAGTACATTCATTAAAGATGTTTGTGCTACATTCCGCGATCCTTTCAACATTTTCAAGTATCCAAAACGACATAAGGTGAAAGCGAACAAATCGTCAAACAGACAAAAAAACTCTGCGGGAGACATAATCTAACGACATAGAGAAAGCCGCGTTAATTTCAAGGCACCCTTCGGGGAGTACAATAACTTCATAATTTTTCACAAAAACCCACATCCTATTGTCAGGTGGCCTGTTTAACCTGTCACAGCCTTTTGACAGTGTTGAGCTCAATAGAGGATAATATGGAGTCCACGAAAAACTCGGACCACTTGTTCAAACAATCAGCTCTCGGAGATTACAGGTGTTTAACGTAACTACGTACAATATTTCTTCACTAATCCATGTTTAGCTTTATGTCGAGAAAAAAAGTCGAGTACCTAAGAGGATAAACTTGGGACCACTCTATTATACTCATTAAAGTAATGAAGGTTTCGCCAGAGATATTTTAAATCTCGGTATAGGTACATACTAGTAATTTTTATAGTTCCGTACCCAAGTGGTAAAACGGGACCCTATTACTAAGACTCCGCTGTCCGTCCGTCTGTCACCAGGCTGTCCGTATCTCATGAATCGTGATAGTTAGATCGTTGAATGTTCTCATACAACAGATTTTTTTCTGTGCGCGAGTCTGAATCGCACTTGGCTTATTTACAAGGTTTTATTAATTTACAATGATACAATAGGTACAATTCAAAAAATTCTTACTTTCGCCAAAATGTAAAATATTGGATAATGAGGTATTATAAAATAAATTACTTTCGGTAACAGACAATTTAATCCCTTGTACAAATTCAGGAGAAGTTTAAGAAAAAACTAGTAATATATATGTTTACTTATGAGTATTAGGATTACATATGAGTATTTAGAACTCTTTGATAATCAAAATTAATAACTGGACAGAAAACTGATTGAGGTTAATCAGTAAGATCTATAAACACTATTACATCGTGTACACCTGATATCAATGTTAGTTGTGGAGGAAGCCATATTTCTGGTTTGGAACCTGCTTATCCCGGTTCGATTCTCGCCTCAAATCGTGAAGTGTTCGCTTTTTTAACAGATAGATTCAGATGTGATACATAACCCGGCCACTCGTTTCTCTAATTAAAACTCTCAGAAGTAGGTTTTCCAAGCTATGTAAGGTCTTTATGTACTTACTAAGTTGCTACCTCACTATCTCCCGCCCCCACCCACTAACACTTAGCCTAATGGCTAGTCTCGGCCTACGCATAATTTCCTACACTAGAATTTAGCCGCTGCTTATTCGAGAACAGGTCTAGGCAGATTATCCAAGATAGATGCGACCACTAACGGCCATTAGTAATAAGTGAGTATCCTGGTTAGTGGTAAGGTCCATGTACCTATTACACGGGTGACATTTTTATAAAGATATATTGTTAAAGAAAAATTGTCATTATCCATAGATTTTAGGCGTATATAATATGCTACAACTTATAATCT